AATTCATCACATTAAAACAGTGTTAAAACGTATCTATTTTGTTTAACAAAGTTCAATTTGATTTTTTCCTGTAGCTCTGGTTTTGTAATTGTCTCCAAAGTTGTAAGCACGTATAAAACAAAAATGTAAATAGCCTTTTGCTTAAAAAAATTACCTTAAAACGCTACATGAATTCTGAATTCAACGAAGAAAATAATTTTAGTAAGAGTGTTAATAAAACGCCGAAAATTGTATTTTTTTAAACAAGCCAAAATATATCTGACACCGGGGGATTCGGCGAAGAAAATGCTTGTATTATACCAGTATTTTGGGTTTTGTTCCCAAATTATTGGGTCGACGGATGTACAGTGTCGTGTCATCAGCTGTTTGTTATCGGTATTTTTTTTTTTATCACGGTAGTAAACAGTAGTCCGTGTGGAGTTTGACGTTCAGTGTTGTTGCTACCGTCGACAGGTGAATTACCGCCGTTGGCCGTATTAATATGATTGCCAACTTATCGAATTTTCCAAACGGCAAACCAACGGTACCCGTTGCTCGATTATCGCGCGCTAGTTCCGTTGACCCCCGACAGAAGACGTGTTGTTCCGTTTTGCTCGGGATAAATAGATTTTCGGCTTAAACGCGCCGGCAAAGAACAACGGTTTATAAGAATAAAAAGTCGCCGCACGGTTCATCGTGGTATTATTGTAATTTAAAAAAAAAAAAAATCCCCTGTCGTTCACGTTTAATGTAAAAAATATCACTGTCCCGTTAAAATAATCAAGAATATAGACGGATCGTATTGTCGATAGTACTTGCCAACTAGTAGCGGGTGTGAAGAAATGACACCGTTGAGTAGGCCTTTTTTTTTAAAAATGGCTCGCTGGCCAAATAAACAACAGTTGGCGGCAATCTAGTTCAAACATCTTTGTTTATAACACATCAAAACTGTACAAATATTGTAAAAATAAAAATGGGTATCGCAGAGGTAGACCGTGATCGGCTTGTGGTTACCTCGGTAGCCGATCGCAGTGGTAATAGAATAATCGTTGTTAATTGAAAAGGAATCCGATACGGAATTATAATAACAATCTGTTACCAGCGTTACCACACAGGTTACACATTCGCACAATTTTATTGGCCTATCCATTTGTTATCGATAGCTGTAGTACATCAAGAGTTTCGTTTGAACTATAACTCAAAGTATGTTAAAACAGTGTTATATCTCTTACTCTATCAGTTGTATTCATCATCGTGTTGTCGGCAATACCAGACGTGAATGCGCACTACCAAAAAAGTAATCAGTGTATCACTGGTAGTGCGCGTACAGTGTCAGTTGATGCTCTTTTTTTAACTTCTACGAATTTTACGGCGAAAATCCTCATTTATATACTATAGTCTATACTATTATCTACGTACAAATATGGCCAGGCTGAACAAACGACGTATTTTTTTGTTGTGCATTTTAGCGTTTTCCAAACTGGCCTTATTTTTGTCCTAAATTACCACTGGGTTATTTGTTTTGGACTAAAAGAACACATCTTAATGAGCTCGGAATAACGAAAATCCTTGTTATTTAATAAAAAAGCGAAAGTAGATTCGAGACTGTCGACTAATATTTCAAGCTCTCTGCTTATTATGCCGGTGAAAATTATTATAAATACAATTGTATATAAAATAATATTTGATTCGTCGGATCTGCAAACGAGACTCGTTTGAAATGTCGTTGACGATGATGATAATAATGTCAAGAGTGCGTGTGTGTGTGTGTGTGTGTGGCAATAAGAGTGGTATATTGAGAGGCGATAGTGTAAATAATAAAATACCTCGAATATAACAATACTGTTTTTTTTTTATCGTTCGTCATTGAAAACAATAAGTCCGGAAATTTTATAGAATTAAAAATGGCGTTTCGCCGTGTGTATTAAACTATACATTGTGTGTGTATGTCTACTGACTGAAATAAAAACTACAACCAAGTAGTTCGCCGTTCGGTCGCGGCCGGAGATAACGGATTCGGCGAATCCATATTTTAACTGTTGTTAATATTTCTAAACTACATAAATAAAATATGTTATTATCGATTTTCAATATTTTTCGTGTTGGTTTAACTTTCTTCGAGCACAAACACAACAGTCGGTTGTCGTCCGTACATCGTTTTTGCGCACGTTCAACAGCGTCTGGGGTGCGTTCAGTCGGAATATCCTAAACGCGACCTTTTCACCGCGTTTTTGTGGTACTACTGTTGCTGCCCTATATTTACTTAGCCGTAAGTAGCATAATGGCCATCTGCCGGGCAGGTACGTATAACGTAATGATACGTGCCGGGATTGTCGGTTTGTAACCAAGTGTTTCATACCAGGTATTCGGTAACCATCGTGGGCGCGCGTCCCGGGCACAACACGACGGCGGCTGCCGTTTCCGCCGCCGCCGCGTGTTCTTCCTCCGAGAGTTGGGTGGTGCGGCCGCAATGTTTTACTTATGCACGGCCGCCATCGCCGACAACGACACACTGGCTTTACAGTTTACACGTACACACACACATTATTATATGTATAATATAAAACGTCGGGAGTTTGCTAGAATAGTAGTGCTAGTGTGAATCGATCGTTTTCTCTCTTGGCACCCGCCGTCCCTCCCTCCCGACCACTCACCACCGTCGTCCGCCTTTATAACGTGTATTATCCCCTTCGTCACACTCTTCTTCTGTGTAATACCTCTCTGAGCCGCCGCCGCCGCCGCCTCCGTGTCACGGAATCAGTCCATCTCCCGGCCGGGCCTCGCCGGAGACGACGTTGGGCGGCGGCGGCGGCGGGGGTTCGTGCCCTTTTCCAAAACGGCAACAACGCCGCGCGTTTCCCGACAACGATGACCTCCCCTCCGACCAGCCGAGAACCCCTCGCGCGCGTGGTTGAAACCTTGACGACGACAATCGTCCGATTCTCGTGTAAAAATAAAGACCACTTCTCTCTCGATATGGTCCTCCTCTTCCGCCCGCACTCTCCGGTCATCTCTTTATTGTTATACATATGTATAGAATAATTATGCAAGTGCCGGCAACGTCGCATTCGTATGTGTGTGTGTGTGTGCTCTCCGATCGCACACAAGGATAGTCGGATGGATGAAAATGTCCATAATTATAATATGTACGGCATCCCCCTCTGAAGGCGCTGCCTTGTTCATGCCTAAAATAATATATTAATATTATGCCCTCCCCCCCCCCCCGTTTACCTTTTTGTTTCCGTGCGTTGCCAACACATTTCATTTTCATTAAAATATTGGACTTAACCGATTGTACGGTGGTACACATGGAAAAAAAACCGTCATTTTTATCTACATTATCTACTTATACATCTACTTATAAGATTTTCTAGAATCTTTCTCACTTAGTCACATCCGTTTGTTTTAGTGACTATCTCCTAAAAAGCCCCTTAAAAAAAAGAAACGTCAAACTTCATTAAATGTTTATAAAAGTTTTTATGTTTATTAAAAATGAAAACTGGATAACTTTTCGAAATTCGTCCAAGTTAGGTTTGTCAGTTGATATATATTATTTTGTGGTCACGCTGTTTTATATATTTTTTTATTTAATAACTTGAACAACATTTTGTTTGTTGATAATATACTATTATACATTTTAAATATAAGTATTTTTTTAGTAACATTTAAAAAATATTAATTTTTTGCTATTCGGGAGCGTACTAAAGATAGTAAAAAATGTCGAAAAAATACTGTTTCTCAATTATAACTATACAAGTTGTATTAAATAATCCATAAACTATCTTTCAATGTACTTTTTATACTATCTTCAATTAAGTCGACCTCTGGAACATGGTTGGTCATATTGATTTATTACAAATTGGTAAAAACGTAATGTTGTATATTTTTTTGCTTAAGCTCGAACACGATATAATTATGTTTGGGAAACGTTATAAAGTTAGAAAATTCTAAAAAAAATAACCAACACTATTCATTATTCACTGTACAAACATAATATAAAACATAAGACTACGTAGTAATACATGTAAATTTATCACAATTTCAATTAAAAATAAAAAGTACATAATGAAATAAAACCTTGTAAAATTCAATGTTCCAGTAATATAATGTACCGTTTGAGACGCTATGTGTAACAAGTCTTGAGATTTGAGCGATCATTGGATTTTTATGCGGTAAATTTACCGGTCTCGAATTTCCAGTTGAAAGTAAGTTATTATAATGTATACAAACCCTTCGGCTGAAAACAGTCGCGCGTAATATAATTATTTTGGTTTGCAAGCCTGATGCGGCCGATCAGAGTTAGCGATGGCGGAGAGTGGCCGCGCAAAGTTAACGCCGACCGTGTACCGCAATGGCGGCGGCGGCGGCCGAGAGTTAAATAGAAGACGGTCGAAAAATGTCGACCGACACGTACAAATAATAATGTACAAGCATTGTGTGCGCGCATCGATAAAATATTGTTGTTGTTCAACTCGTTTTTTCAAACAAATATTGTTGTTGTACATGTTTGGTAAGAGAACAAAAAAAAAAAATATTTTTTGTGAAACCCGACGGTAACCGGCGTGCGGCTGACCTTGAGCGGTCGACCCGTTTAAAAATAGGTTAGAAATTATATTACATTATTATTTACTCACATTGTTGCTGCTGTAGCGACGGCGGCGGCGGCGGCGACGATGACGAATATTTCAATCGGTTAGGTGTTAATTTTTCAAAAAAAAATTGTAATAATAATAACGATACTTGGTTACAGTAACCGGCTAATTTAGTAACCGCTGCTACCGCGGTATGCGATAATAATAGTAATACATGTGTTGATTGGTTTTTTGTTTTTGTACCTATTTGCGGTAGTATTTGATCTATAGACCATAATAGATATTCTCTACTGAACGCGGCTCAAAAATAATTTATTATTATAGCTTATCTGTAAAATAATAATACATAATAATGAATAGGGCATTTTTTTTCGCCGATTTGTCGACAGTTTCTCTGATATACCGGTTTTTGTGTGTTTTCTCGTTTAGGTGCTAGCGTCAAAATGGAGCATCACTTCCAAGCTGCGCTGGATCCACGCAAACAGGAATTGTTAGAAGCCAGATTCATCGGCGCTAGAGTAAGTCAATATAAATAATATTATAAATAACCAAGAATAATATACATATTATTTTTTTACTTATCGATAAGGAATATGCATGTATAAACTATTTGGGCTATTTATCGTATTATCTCGGCGACTGTTTAAAATATGTATACAATTTTATGTATTGTTAATCGTTATCGGAGAAGCTCGACTAATTCGGTTTGTTTAAAACGAGTATTATGTTATATTGTCCGACCACTTTGGTGTGTGTGTGTGTGTGTACGTGTAAAGACACACGGAATTAATAAAAAAAAACGCCTTGTTGTTCTTTTCGAACGTCGGTTGTGTTTGCTCGATAAAACAACACCGATGTAAGCTGTCAAAACTCGGTTGAATATTGAAAAAAATGTAATTCACAGACGATTTTCCAAACATCAATCGATCGGTCACTGGGCGTGTCCCAGATAAGAAAAGCAGTTTTTCTTAATATTGTTTTTTTTACCTACAAAATAATTATCATATGGAAGAAAACGCGAAAATGGACTTTTGTGTGTATATATTATATCATTATGTTTGTGTTGGTTACTTGTCGTCCACCAGGAAGCGATCGATTACGACCAGCGATATTTTTTTATAATAGGTTTTCAAGGCGATTCGTTACCACTTGCCACACATCCGTCGTTAGGTTTATTATAACTGCAATTTTTTTTTTTTATTCCATGAGAACATTTCAAATGGTATTACGGCTGATGATGATTATGTCGAGTAGGTAGTACAATATTAATATGTCAGCTGTGCGACTGCTGTTGTTGTAGTAGCATAATATTATAATATGTGCATATCATCATAGCGCGTTAACCGTAATGATTATTTCTTTTCTATTTATACCAGTCCAAAAAAGAAATAACTATCGATGTCGGTACTCGTTTCTCGGTTATTTATAAAACACATTTTTTCTGCTATTCTTTTCACGGTGGGGACAGGCGATGCGCGCGCCGTGAAAGTTTCGATGAGATTATAATATATTTGTTAAGTATAATTATTTCTGCTGCAAAATACACACTCATTTTCATCGCCGGTTTTATACCAGTATATATGATTTTGCCCATACAAATATAGTGTCGAATTTGCGTTTACTCGTGTGATACACGATAACCGCACAGCAGCCAACTGACTTTTATTTATCTCCCAAAACCAGAATAATAGTACTAATGTTGGTCGCCGTGTCTGTTTAAATGCATTCCGTACATTTGCTTTGGTCACGTTGTCTAATAATAATTATTATTCCCCATACTACTAACGGCGACCACGGCTCGGTTCGATAACACTACGGATTGGATGAGATGCTGTAGTATGTTATAATCTAACAAATACGTTTTGAACGTGTTTTTAATAGGTTGGGCTGGCTTTCAAGAAATTCGAAAGTATATTCATTTAAAGCGGCATTGATGTAAAAACCGTCAGCAATTCAAAAAACGTAGGTGGCTTCCGAAGATAAACGAATAATATTATAAACAAATATTTTGATTAAAACAATACTTTAGATTGACATCTATTTATTCTTTTATTGTGACCTATGAGTTTCAGCCGGGTTCGAGTTCCATAGTATGCATTATCGGGCTACTCATATGGCCGACTGTGATTTGTGTTAATTATATTCACATACTGTTGATATTTGCTGAATGCCGTTCTTGATTGGATTTCGTCGGTCACCGATTGAAGTGGTGGAAATCAAAGGGTACAAACGATTTTCAAAAAACCGTGGGTGACCAAAAGCTCGTTTTTGAGAATTAACTGTCACTTGTACACATTTTATATTGAAGCCTTTTTTAAATGGCTGATTTTCGAACAATTGTCTTTACTTAAACCGGGTGGGGGAATATCATACATTTGAAAATAAGTTTAAAAAAACTTAATTCGAGCTTGGAGAAGATCGCTGACATCCGTCATCGGTTTGAAAGTCAACCTCTTTGCAGTCATTGAATTTATATGTAGCTCACGGAAGCATTTTCTCGATAAGATAATAATTTCGCCATAATTCAAAATGCATTTAATAAGTGTGCAGATTTTATATAATACGTGATAAGAAGGCTGCCACTTATGTTTGCAGCGCCGGTGACGGTCTCTTATCGCACTAACTCGACTAGTTATCAATGCTTGTTTTTTTATGGGTAATTCTGTCTTGGCCAATTTGTTTGAACACTTTCAAAGTCGTAATTTTTACTAATCCTTATTGAATGTTTGTCATTTAACTTGAGTGTAGTACGCTTTTACTCTGTACTGCACTTTTTACTTCAGTCTTTTATCCCACTATGTAGACATGTTATTAGATAAGGACTGCGCGTAGTTAGAGAAAACTGGCTTCATCATTGAGTGAGAGGCGATATAGACGATAGTTTTTCTCGTTTGTGAATGAAAAATTAAATGTTCACAACTAATGTTTCATCGAAAGATAGATTTGATTGATATTTCCTTAGATATCAATTTTATTTATTAGCTTATAAGTAAGAATTTTTGTCGCCAAATGGAAAACGTAAAACGTTGTCGAACGTTCACATACTTACAACTGGTTTCATTTATTGTTGTAGTAAATAATGACTGTCCCTCTAACTTGATGTAGATGCCGACCTGCCATGGACAGGATATAATATGGGACGCGCAGTCCAGTTCTATATTTATAGTTTGAGCACTATAATAAAACTATTGGTTCAAAACCACCAACATACATTCGTGGGTAGGTTAGGTACATATCGTGGTTATCTCTAAAAGTAATTTTTTTGTCACGGTCAAGCACCATCTGAAGGTGTCGTTGTACTTAGGCCAATCACCTATAGAAAAGTTAGCTTGTCGCTTTTTTGCTTTGTAGAATCGTGCATAAACGACAACGTTTTCATTTGTATGTAATAACGTAGCTCGATATAGTAAACATCTTGTATAAGAGCAAGGGCGGAGTAGGATCTAAGTTTAGGCCAGGAAATTACACATCACCTAGGTCACACCAAAAACGTCTGCTCAACTAGATCTCATATAAATACCCCTTCTTGAAACCGTTTAAAAAACAAATAACTAAACACAAAAATTTACTATAGATATATCATATTTAATGAGAAAAAAAAAAGAGGTAAAATGTGCCAGGACGCGACGTTTAAAACACATTCATTTTATAGCATTTTTCTCACATAATCGAAATTTTATGTTAAATTTGTGAAACGAGTCAAATTTAATTTTAAGTTATCTAATATTTTACGAACAAAAACATAATAATCATATTGTATAATAGTTGACTTTGTTAGTAAAAATACATTTGTAAAAATCGGATAACGCTGGTTGGAAAACGTGTTTTTGCTCTAAAACTACTCAATAGTCTTAAAACCCCGATTCGTAACAATGTTTCTTTAATAATTCTTATGTTTTTAAGATACACGCCAAAAGAGTGTTGGTTTCAATTGTACGAGAGATCTTTTACAACAGTTACAGCAACAATTTATATTTACGGGCTTAAGTAAGCAGCAGGTCTTTTGGAAAATTTCCGATCCGATACTGGCCATTTCGGTCCTGTGTGAAAGAGTTTCAAATTCGTTCGAGAAAGGCCGTATTCATGGGGTAATTTTTTTTGTACCCTCTCAGAGCCATCGGAGCCACAGAATCATAGTTTTACTGTCGAGTGTCTTATGAATTTTCAAACATAGTTCTACTGAAGTTATAAAAAAAAAAAACGTTTTTGTGACATGTCACTGATATGATATCAGTCGTGGTCAAGATGTAAAGGGATCATCAGACATACGATTGAGAGGAAAAAAATAAATTTTCTAGTGTTTCCTCTACTTGTGACTGTGTACATCGGTCAACAGTTATAATCGTGTACAAAACGGCAGTCGTGATTTCAACGATAGTTCAAGTGGATTGTTCAAGTCTATTGTAATTTATCGCGCCTGCACTGTGCGCAGAAGAGGTGTGTAACGATTTTCGGCGTTTCTCCGGAAAGAGATTCACTCCGCCTATAATTGCGGGAAGGAGAAGTCTTGTTTTAATCTGTTATCGTCTTTGTGTGCGTGCGTATGCATCGGTCAACGGTAAATGCCTAGGTGGCGGCTTTGGAAGTGAAAATCGACAGAGCGCCGCGCCGCGGTGCTTACCGCAAACAACTCGGCTGTTCGGTGCCACCGCCCCGGCGGCCGTGTGAAATAATGGTAATAAAACGGCGCGCGTAATAATAAGGCCGCCTATTGAGTCGGCTAGTTGTATTAGTCAGTGTGTGTGTGTGTGTGTTTGTGTGACGACGACGACGACGACAGTGTTTGTGTGCGCTTGTTACCACCGCGGCGGTGTTGCGAGTGCGTTCGGCGGGCCTCTCTTTCTCCAACGCTGTCATTCCGCTCCTCCACCCTGGACGCCTCCTCCCCGTCCTCCCTTTTTGGTTAGTGTGCGTGTGTGAGGTGAACGCGGTGGCGGACGCGCGGGGTCACGCGAGTAGTGTATTTTCTCCACCGCTCTCCTCGTCGTCATCCGTAGTCGGATGCTGATGTTAGTGTTCTCTCCGCTCGGTTATTTTATTGATCACACCCAAAGTGTGTGTGTGTGTGTGTGTAATAGTTCGCGTGGTCTGTAAAAAAAAAAAAAAAAACGACAACGATATTATATATTCCACGCCAGTTGTAATATTGTTCGTCCGTCCGAATATAATATCCCCGTGGCCGCCGCGCCGCCGAGGTATGTGCTGCCGCTCCGGTGCGAATCTCGACGATGGTCAAGTGTCGTAGCACCAGCTCCACCACCGTGCTGTGCCGGCGCCTTCATAGTTTCAACGTGGTCCGGTTGCAGGTGGAGAAACCTGAGTCGCCGTCGAAAACTCGTAGAAAACGATGGGTACAAAACGTAGTTTAAAATGTTGATGTTTTTATTGTTTTTATTATGGTGCCGCGCGCGCGTGTGTACTAAAACACGCAAAGCGACGTCATGCAACGGCAAGTATATAGTTGTGTAGATGTAGTAATATGGTTGTTAGTCGAGTGCTCTTAGCGAGCAGCTGCTGT